TGAAAAGGCTCTGTCAGCCACAAGCTTCCCTCCTGAACAGCCTGTGGAGCTGGGAGAAAGGAGGTGGAGCAGGACAGGGCAGCGTTTGGGCTCACTTGGGGTTTAACCACTCACTCCCCTGCTAATCATAATAGGAGCCAATAGCTGCGATATGGTGAAGCTGTGCTGCCAGGGGAGGGATGTGCTCAGCTTTTCCAGGCCTGGAGACGATGCTGGGAGGGAAGGAGGGAGCACCCACCCCATTCCAAGCATATGGCTCAAGAACAGAAGCACAGGAGAACTGGCTTTAACAGTTTATTTAAAATAAGTTTTGTTACAAAACAGGATATTTCTTTTAATTATTAAAATACATAGAAACATCTAATCTTACAAAAGGCTAAATTCATTTTTCCCTTTTTCTGTTGTTCTTAAATAGAATACGCTGTGGAAGCGTGAGAGGAGAGGGCTGTGGTGGAAGGAGCCATCAGTGCATCCAGACAGGTATTTGCAGGAGTCAGCATACCCACAGGTGGGTGCTTGTAGGTCCAAGGGCAGTGCCATCCCCTCCCCTGCCCCTGCCAGCCACCATCCCCATTCATAAGCCAACAGGCTTTTGGGCTGGAGGTTTGGGGTCTTCTTGTTTTCCGTTAGCTTTCCATTCCAAGACCATGTAAACAGGTATAAATATTTCAAACACTTCGATGTCGACCACACTGTGATCTCTCTTGACAAGACAACTGGTAAATAACTTTACAATAGCTTCATTCAAGACTGCTAAATCCACCCAGGTGCTGTGTACCACAGGCAGCCCACGGACACTCCACCGTTGTGCCCAAGTGGCCGAGGGTGCCACGGCAGCACTGGCACCATGAGGAACAGCAGCTCGGCTCATGCACGGCACCAGGGGCCTTCATGCAACAACAGGCCTTGAGAAACCGACGGGGAAAGGAGCTGCTGGGTTTTTTTTCTGGCTTAACATGGAGGAAGGGCTGCTCTGAAAGATGCAGTCTTGGGGGAGCCAGGCCCAGGCTGGCCCTGGTGGGTAGCAGAGGCATGGCCAGGGGCTGGCTTGGCTCTGAGCACCCCCTGCAGCCAGATCCCATCATAAAACCAAAGCTGGAGAGTTGGAGGGAGCACCCAGCAGCTCCCTGCTCTAGCTAAAAACATCTGTCCAGCAAAATTAAATCACAGAGCTGACCCCTTGAGGGGGCAGATCCCTGCCCAGCACCGTTGTACCCCACCCTGAGATGGGGGTCTGGCTGCTGGGAGACCTTGGCCCCATGCTGTTCATGGTGAAAGGTGCCCTCACTTTCTGGTCATGGGTCCTGGTGGGCAAGGAAACAGCACTGAAGCCTTCATGTCTTCCAGTGGCCATCTCTGCGTGTCACCGTGAGGAGCTGGGTCCTGCAGCGCGTTTGGTGCTGGGCTGGCACTTGTCACAGGGGGACTGGCCTCAGCCTCCCTGCAGGGAGACATGCACAGGTCACAGTGGGCAGGGGCACAGCCACCAGTGCCCCAGCCCCGTCTGGTGGCATTGTAGCAGGAGGTGGTACCACAAGCATCCCCAGGAGCATCCTTGCACAGCCCAGCAGCCCTGCCCTGCCAGGGAAGCAGGGCGAAGCACAGCCCTCCCTGCCCTGCCAGGGAAGTGAGGCAAAGCAGAGCCCTCCACCAGCGCCCGCCGCAGCACTCACCTGGCAGCTACAGCTGCCCCTAAGTCAGGCTGAAATTAAAGGGGAGAGAGGTTCAGCCTGGCAGCATTGCCCTCCCCACACTCCCTGGGCCACCAGCAGTGGCTTCACACTAGGGTGCTCCTGGGGAAGTGCTAACCATGGCTAATTAGCTATTAGTTAATGAGCTGATTACAAATCAGCTCGCTCCCCCACGCAGGCTTTGCTACAGGCTGGCTGTGGGAGCCTCCTCAGACAGAGGGATCCCATCTGGGTTCCTGATGTGCTTCAGCACCCACCTGAGGTCTGGAGCTTCCTGCGGATGGAGGCAGCACGACCGGAGATCTGCCCCGGGCTGGAGGACGTGTGGCCCCGTCCAGGTGGTGCTGTGGTCCCTGGCGAGTCACCCTGGGAGGAGATGGGGCCCAGCCCCAGGGTCAGCCCATGCCAGTCCCCAGGGGGAAGGAATGGGGATAGGCTTGTGGGCAGATCATGCCCTCCTGGGTAGCAGTGTCCAAGTGTGCTCTGGGAGTACCACAGGGCTGCTGCAAAACAGGGCTTGGAACAGCCAAGGTGGCAGCATTGGCTGGACACTGCTGTTTGGGGACAACCTGTGTCACACCAGGTGATGGTCCCCAATGAAGACAGCTCCAGCAGAACACCCCACAGCCCTGGGGACCATGTGTGGCAGCAAAACAAGGGGGGCCCCAGCGCGAGGGGGAAGAGGAAGGGCATGAGCAACCCCTCAGTTACCTCCAATTGCTCCTGGCTGGGCCAGGAAACCAGCTCAGCCTTGCGGGAGACAGGACCCAGCTCCACGGAGCGAACCCTCTCGGCAAACTTCAGGGAACACAGCGTCTCGCTGGTGTTTTTCTCGGCGGGGGAAACCTGTGGTCAGGCAGGAACAGGCAGAAAGTCACCCTGTCAGCGGTCTGCACACCCTAGGGGCTCCCCCCAGCAAACCTCCCAGTGCTGGTCAGTGAGACACTATTATTAACCCGCCCCTCCCAGGACAGCCCTGTCCATCCGCTCCTGGGCCAACATCTGAGGCAGCTGGATCCCTGTCACCAACTGCCCCAGTGCGAGGGACAGCCGGGAATAGCTGTGGCAGGTGGCAGGGGCTCAGGCAGCCCCCACAGGGGCTCGGTGTGGGTGCAGACAGCCCAGGGTGGGGGGGTCACAGGGCAGGGCTGGAGGAGCTGCCAGAGCTTAAAATCCTCCCAGCAAGAGAGAGGATGAGAAATGACAACATGCAAGGAGATCATGCCCATAGGGATAGCATCCATATGCAGGCAGGGAAGATAGGACTGTGGACCTCCAAGTTCATCCGCCAAACTTTGGCCTAATTCTGGGGTGCAGAGACAGGGACAGAGCCACCCCTGGCATCACAACTGCAGACTGGAGGATGTCCCCATGGGCAAGCCTTACCCCCAGCTCCTGCCTCTGGCATCCCTCCCACCTGCCCCAGCGCTGGGGGAAGCAGGGACCAAACTCATCCC